TATTGTGAGATTTTCTGCCAATAGTATGGGATATGGGGCTGTGGGGAAGGGTCCTTTCTGAGGGAAAAGGCTGAGGTAAAGACAGAAATCCTGTGGAGACTGAGGGCCCTTCCACACAGATTTTCAGCCATTAACTGGGATTTGTGGCAGGGTGGCTCTTCCTCGCAGTATCAAGGATTTGAACTGGGTTATCTTGAGTCCACACTGCCATATATCCCAGTTCAAAGCCAATGATGTGGGGTTTTATTCGGCTGTGTGGAAGGGCCCTCCATTGATGATTCCTGAGGTAAAGAAGTGTGAAATCTCCCAAATGAGACAGAATGTATGACTTCCTGAGGTTGAAAAGTGTAAAATCTTCCAAATCACATCATATCGAGTACGAATTTATGACTTCCTGAGGTAAAAAGTGTAAAATCTTCTAAATCACATTGAGTATGAATTGATGATTTCTTTACCTCGGAAATCTCCCAAATCACATCGTATTGAGACTGAATGTATGACTTCCTGAGGCTAAAAAGTGTAAAATCTTCCAAATCACATCATATCGAGTATGAATTGATGATTTCTGAAGTAAAGAAGTGTGAAATCTCCCAAATCATATCGAGCATGAATTTATGACTTCCTGAGGTAAAAAGTGTAAAATCTTCTAAATCACATCATATCGAGTATGAATTTATGACTTCCTGAGGTAAAAAGTGTAAAATCTTCTAAATCACATCGAGTATGAATTGATGATTTATTTACCTCAGAAATCTCCCAAATCACATCGTATTGAGACTGAATGTATGACTTCCTGAGGTTAAAAAGTGTAAAATCTTCCAAATCACATCATATCGAGTATGAATTGATGATTTCTGAGGTAAAGAAGTGTGAAATCTCCCAAATTACATCGTATTGAGACTGAATGTTTCAATACGTATGAATTCACTACTTTCTGAGGTTAAAAGTTCCACCTCGTAATTTAAGAACTACTGGAGAGGCCCTGCTCTCGGTCCCACCGTCTTTGCAAACGTGTCTGGTGGGGACAAGGGACAGGGCCTTCTCAGTGGTGGCCCCCTGCTTGTGGAATTTGCTCCCCAGCGAGATTAGATTGGCGTCCTCCCTCCTTTCTTTTTTTAAAAAAACTAAAATCGTGGTTGTGGAGCCAGACCTTTGACTAGTGGGCATAGTAGCACTTTAGACACTGAACCCGGACCACAGGACTGTTATGACAATTGGAAACGGCTATGTGACTATAATAATAATAAAAATATTAATATTAATAATAATAATCCTTTATTTATACACCACTACCATCTCCCACAGGACTTGGTGCCAAAATCATACAATATGAGACTTTGCGATTTTCTGAGGAAAAAGTAGAAATCACCAAAATCACATTGTATTGACACTACATGCATGACTTCCTGAAGTAAAAAGTGTGAAGTCAGAAAATGCCAAAATCACACAGTATGAGACTGACTTTGTGATTTTCTTAGGTAAAAGCAGAAATGACCAAAATCACATTGTACTGAGACTGAATGTATGACTTCCTGAGGTTAAAAAGTGTAAAATTTTCCAAATCACATAATATCGAGTATGGATTTATGACTTTCTAAGGTAAAAAGTGTGAAGTAAAGCCAGAAAATGATAAATCGCACAGTGCAAGACTGATTTTGTGACTTTCTGAAGTAAAAAGTGTGAGGTAAAAGCAGAAATCACTAAAATCACATTGTATTGAGACTACATGTATAGTTTTCTGAGGTAAAAAGTGTGAGGTAAAGTCAGAAAATGCCAAAATCGCTGTGTGAGACTGAATTTGTGACTTACTGAAGTAGGAAGTGTGAGGTAAAAGCAGAAATCACCCAAATCACCTTGTATTGAGAAGACATGTATGACTTTCTGAGGTAAAAAGTGGGAAATCTCCTAAATCACACAATATTGAGTCTGAATTTATGACCTGAGGTAAAAAGTGTCTGGTAAAGACGGAAATCATGCAAAACTTTAGCAGATACCAGGAGTGGGTTATTTTAAGTGTTTTAAATGTGATTTCATGTCATTTATATGTTTTAATATCGCAACCAATTATATATACTATATATTAGTCTGAGGGGAAATGGCAATAAAATCAAATATATCCCGAATTATGTGCTATGGAACGAGGAGATCCCGTTTATCTCTTTGCACATGCCCCGAAAAACTAGAGACACACACACGGCAGCGGCGCTTGTTTGAAGTCGGCAGGCTCCCTAGCTCCTGTTAGAGCCCCATCTGCATATTCATGAGCACCTGATAAATTAATCATGATGTCAGCAATGTTCACGCTGCAAAGGAGGCGACAGCTGAAGGTTGTGTTCGCACACTGTGCGCTTCCAATGGCTTTGAATCCCAATCTTTGGGGAAGGAGGAAGGAAAGCAGGATAGAAATACTGTGTGTGAATGTATATGCATTTATATATTTATTTCAGGCAAACTTGGGCCCTCCAGGTGTTTTGGACTTCAACTCCCACAATTCCTAACTGGTTGCCCATGCCTGATCTACCTATCACCCATGTCTATCTTTTACTCACTCTATCTTCCATCCGTCATTCACTCACTCACTCCATTCCTCTCTATCTTATCTATCATCCATCCTTCTTTCTATATCATCTATCATCCATGTCTACTCACTCTATCTTCCATCCATCACTCACTCACTCCATATCTTATCTATCATCCATCCCTATTTCTATATCATCTTTCATCCCTGTCTATCTACTACTCACTCTATCTTCCATCCGTTACTCACTCACTCCATCCATCCCTTTCTATATCGTATTATCTATCATCCACCCCTTTCTAGATCATCTATCAATCAATTATCTATGTTTATCTTCCACTCAATCTTCCATTAGTCACTCTCTCCATCCATCCCTCTATATAATCTATCTATCTTCTACTCAACGCTCCACCCATCCATCACTCACTCACTCCATTCCTCTCAATATAATTTTATTTATCGTCCAGGTCTATCTTCTACTCACTCTATCTTCCATCCATCCGTCACTCACTCAGTCTCTACTATGATCTATCCCTTTCTATACTACCTATCATCCAGGTCTATCTTCTACTCACTCTACCATCCATCCGTCACTCACTCAGTCTCTCTCTACTATGATCTATCCCTTTCTATACTACCCATCATCCATGTCTATCTTCTACTCACTCTCTTCCATCCATCCGTCACTCACTCAGTCTCTCTCTACTATGATCTATCCCTTTCTATACTACCTATCATCCATGTCTACCTTCTACTCACTCTATCTTCCATCACTCACTCACTCCATCTCTTTCTATATCTTATCTATCATCCATCCCTCCTTCTATATCATCTATCATTCATGTCTATCTTCCACTCAATCTTCCACTAGTCACTCACTCCATCCCTCCTTCTATATTATCTATCTATCTATCTATCTATATCTATCATGCCTATCTTCTACTCAACGTTCCACCCATCCATCACTCACTCACTCCATTCCTCTCTATATAATGTTATCTATCATCCAGGTCTATCTTCTATCCATCTGTCTCGCTCTATATCTTTTCTATCATCCACCCCTTTCTATACCATCTATCCTGCATGCCTGTCTTCTAAACTCCACTTACTTCACCCATCTTTCTATATAATCTATCAATCAATCAATCATCCACCTGTCACTCACTCAGTCCTTCTATATCATCTTATCTATCATCCATTTCATCCGTCACTCACTCAGACTTCCGTCACTCAATCACTCCATCCATCTCTTCCTACCTTTCTATAACATCTACAGTATCAATCATCCCTCCTTCCCTCCATCTTTCTGTATCATCTACCTACCATTCCTCACTCACTCATTCACTCCATCTTTCTATATCTATCCAACCTTCTATATCATCCACCCATCATCTACCAATCTACCTTTCCATCCAACCTTCTATATCAACTATCCATCCATTTATATAATCTATCATCCCTCACACTTTCTATATCATCTACCTACCACCCATCACTCACTCCATCCTTCTATATATATCTATCCATCCAACCTTCCAATCCATCCATCATATATCATCCACCCATCATCTACCTACCTACCTTTCCATCTATATCAACTATCCATCAATCTATATAATCTATCATCCCTCACTCTTTCTATATCATCTACCTACCATCCATCACTCACTCCATCATTCTACATCATAGATCTATCCATCCAACATTCTATAATATCATGTATCTATCCATCAAACCTTCCATATCAATGATCCATACATCCACCCATCCATCTACCTACCTACCATCACTCTCCATCCTTCCATATCATAGATCTATCCATTCAACCTTCCATATCAATCATCCATACATCCACCCTATATCATCCACTCATCTACCATCTACCTACCTACCATCACTTACTCCATCCTTTTATATCATGTATCTATCCATCCAACCTTCCATATCAATCATCCATACATCCACCCTATATCACCCACTCATCCATCATCTACCTACCATCACTCACTCCATCCTTCTATATCATGTATATCCATCCAAACTTCCATATCAATCATCCATACATCCACCCATCCATAATCTACCTACCTACCATCACTCATTCCATCCTTCTATATCATGTATATATCCACCCAACCTTCCATATCAATCATCCATCCTATATCATCCACTCATCCATCATCTACCTACCTATCTACCTACCTGCCTACCTACCTACCTACCTACCTTCCTTTCCACCCATCCTTCTATATCAACTATCCATCATCTTTATAATCTATCTACCTCCATCCATATCAACAATCCATATCTATGTGTGTATGTGTTATTGACACAACTCTCTCTATCTACCTGCAATGTATCGGAGTTTTACCCTGGAGTCCCGGGGGGCCGTGTCCTCATCCACCTCTTTTGCCAGATCTGTTTCCCTCAAAACAGGGCCGCCTCCCCAGGGACTGAGGTCCAGACAAAAGCAAGACAGGCA